GGACTGCGCCGGCGGCCCGGGAGGCCCCGCAAGTTCCCCCGCCTGGAAGGGCCCCCCCGGACGGAGGGTAAGGAGGGGCAGTTTCGGGGCTTGTGGCCCGTCCTCCTTGGGCCCCTGGGGCCGCCCTCCGTGCTGAAGGCTGCGCCGGGGTTGCAGCCTCCTGAGCGTGGCCCCTGCAGGCAGGCAGGCAGGCCCCGCTTGGGAGGAGAGCCCCGGAGGGCCTCCCCTCGGGAGGGAGACCGCCTGCTGCTGGCAAAGGATTGGACCCTTTCCCCTCTTTGGCGGGTCCCCTTGCGCGGTTCCTGCTCTGTCCAGGTGGACGCAGCCAGTGAGGCTTTGCCAGTCACTTCCTAGCCTTTGGTCACTCCTGGCACCAGCTCTCCCTTGTGGCCACTCAGGACGGAGGCTCTCTGGCCCCAGCAGCCCCTTTGCTTTCCATGCCGTCCTCTTGTGCCAGAGTGGGGGTCCCATTGGGCAACTGGGCAGCTCCCCCTGCCCAAGACAGGATCCTCGGAGGGCCTCCCAGGCGGAGCTTTCCCGGGGGATTCCCGCAGGCCTTTGCGACGTCTGCTTGGAGATCCAGGGCTCTGCAGGGCTCCCATTGCTGGATTCCTCCCTCGGCAGGCGCTGAAGCGGAGCCGGCTGTCTCCTCGCCGTGTGTCCCGCAGGGGGAGCCGCAGAGCTCCGAGCCAGCCAGCTCCTCGGCCTCCGTCCCTGATGGCACCGCTCGCCTGGCAGAAACGGCGGTGAACCAGTCGGACTCAGAGAACAGGGACCCGTCCTCCCACAGCCAGCCTGAAGCGCCTCCCCGCCGACGAGGCCGGCCCTCCCACCGGTTCCTGGGCAAGAAATACCGCAAGTACATGGGGCGAAGGTGAGAGGTGGGGCTGCGCTCCAGGAGGAGGCCTCTGGCTGGGGCCCCCAGGTGACAACCCCCCCCCCCCCGTGCCCCCCCACAGATACTGCTACAAGTCTGCCAAGCCCTTGATGCGGCCCTACCTGTGTCGGATCTGTGGCTCCCGCTTCCTGACCCACGAGGACCTGCGCTTCCACGTGAACTCCCACGAGGCCGGGGACCCCCAGCTCTTCCGCTGCCTACAGTGCAGCTACCGCTCCCGGCGTTGGTCCTCTCTGAAGGTGAGCCCCCCGCCCCCAGTTTAGCCCCCCTCCCAGCAGGGGAGCCTCCGTTGCCAGGAGCCGCCAGCCTCCCTCCCTCCTTCGCCTCCTGCAGGAGCACATGTTCAACCACGTGGGCCGGAAGCCCTACCAGTGCGAGGAGTGTGACTACACCAGCGTGTACAAGAAGGACGTCATCCGCCACTCTGCGGTGCACAACCGGGACAAGTGAGTGCCGAGGGGAGGGGGGGCTCCCTGGACCCCCTCGTGGCCCCTGAAGACTCTGTGCGGGGGGGGGGATCC